CACCAAAGAGCTTCAGTAAGTATCAACAAATCTTATTATTTTCTTATATGTCACCACCTGCTTTTCTTCCATCTAAGTTTGAAGCAAATTCCGGATATCATATATTTTATCCTATAAGTCAATATATTTTTCTGAAACAATAATCATTTTAAGTAAAAAAATCATAACTAGCTCATTCATAGAATTTATCATAACTCCTTAATAGTCAACACTAAATCAATGCACACATTTCCAATAATATCACAAATATTCAAATGCTTATTTACAGTTATTTATGTGAACTGGAATGCAATTGCAGTAGACACATCACATTTTGTGTGTGTGCTGCTTGAATTTGAACCTAATGTCTACTACACACCTAGAGTCCACAATGCATTTTTAAGTACTTCTTTTTATTCTCATTTTCAGCTTTTATTTCTTAAATTTTATTTACAAACCATTCTATTAAAGTTGTTTTGCATATGAACACCCTTTGTTTTCAATTTTAGTACAAAGCATGACTAGCTTCCCACAGGCACCCTTTTTTTCCTCTTGGCTTTTGGAGGTCCTTAGCAAGTGCTTGAAAAGCAGTCTACTTCTAGTGTTTTTTTTTAATTGATTTCATTTTTTATTTTATTATTGTTGTACTGGGGGTACATTGTGACATTTTCAAAAGTTCTTACAATATATCATAGTTGATTTCACCCTATATCTTTTAAAAACTATAGTTTCCCCAAGTGCTGATGGCTCACACCTGTTATACTAGTTACTTGGGAGGCTGAAATTGGGGGTATCTTGGTTGGAAGCCTACCTGGATAAGTAGTTTGTGATGCCCCATCTCCAAAATAACCAGAGCAAAATGGACGGAGGTGTGACTCAAGCAATAGAATGCCTGCTTTGTAAGTGGAAAGCCCTGACTTCAAACCCTAGTACCACCAAAAAAAAAAAAAAAAACCCAAATCACAACAGCAGTAAAACCACTATAGTTTCATTAACATTCCTTCATTTTCCCTTGAAATTTATTTGTTAAAGAAATTGAGATTTTTGGTTGGATCAATCACTCCTGTGAACTTGAGCATGGGTTTTTCGTTTTTTTTTGTTTTTTGACTTGCTTTTGTCAAGTGGAAGTTAGATGTAGAGGCTTAATAAGATTCAGAATTGTGTGGTTTTTTTGATAATACAAATCCACAAATGGAGATTTGTTTTGTCTAGAGGCTTATAATTGATCGTCCCCCAGGAAAAATACATACTTTGCAAATAAATTATTATTTCATGCAGTACAGAAAAGAGCCTTCTTCAGACCCATATGTGATAAAATGCATCAAAATAAAGAAAAGAGAGCAATTTCACATACAGATGATAAATGGCATACTTAATGGTAGCATTCATTTAAGAATAGATAATTAGATAAACAAAACTATAATCTTGGTAGACAGTTAATCCTAATATTTCCAAGGGGAAAAAATGTCCAGTAAAAGCAGGGTGGAAAGAGGTTTTATAAGAAACCATGGCAGATTTTTGTACCACTGACAGCAAGGCAGCCTGAGTTTTAAATGAATCAATCAGCAAGATTCCTGTGTAAAGGTAGTCAGAGCATCACTGTGAGAAACAAGCAGCGTCTCTGCTTACCCTGAACTTGCAGAAAACAAACAAACAGCAGCCCTCTAAAATTACAAGGCAGTAGATCATAAGCTTGTAAGTCTGTATCTCTAATGAACTTGGAGGTTGGAGCTCATTATTATCTGAGGTAGTGAGGGTGGGAAGTTAGAAGGGAGGATAGCAGGTAAACTTCAAAGTATTGCTAGAATAGAAGTGGGAGGAAATGACTGGGTGAGACTTTCCATAAAAGGTACATTGTGTGGATAAAAATGAGTGACTAAGAATGAGCATAATGTGATCACAGGAATAGATGTAGAATAGCATTTTTTAAATATCCAAATGGTCATGTGTGTAAGTGCATGCCAGAAACTTCTGGGACACTTCAGTAACTTCTCTGGATTTCTCTTTCTTTACCTGTGCAAAAAGGGGATCAGGTTCCCCAATTAGAAGTTTTTCAACTTGGGGGACATATAGATTGAACAATCTATTTCTCAATAAGATTAAAATCAAGCCTAAAAATAGTAGAAACCTGCCATAAATATCATTTTTAAGAGAAAGTGTATTTAAAAGTAGGAAAGGAGGTAGGGGCAAGGAATGGCCTCTGGAGTGTGTATGTGTGTGTGTGTGTGTGTGTGTGTGTGTGTGTGTTACTTTATATTAAAACTAACCAGATTACCCTTATGCTTATATAGTCTATTAACATTTCATCATGGAGTCCAACAGTGAAATATGGACTAGCTGATATGTGACAGTCTTCCCTTTTGTGACATTCTAAGTACTCATCAACTGGGGTAATTTTTCCTTTCAACTTTGCCTGTAACTTTGAATGTGCTAGATAACAGCCAAACACTTGTCCAGTCTTTAAATGTTAGTCATTTTATTGGATCTGAGGCCTGAATCTTATTGGTGATACAGATGGGTATGATAGGAAAAACTCATATTGGAGGCCAGGAAACTTATCTTCCAGCCACATTCATCACTCTTAGACGGAAGAGTTTGTTGTCACCATGAAACCTTTTCTAAAAATCATCTGGAAAAGAAAGTTACCATGCTGTTTTATTTGTCCGTCTAGGTGCTATGAAATAATATAACATATTTTTAATTTTAAAAATAATCTAGAAAGCTATTTAAATATAAATTATTAATAATAGAACACTGATGTGTGAAATCAATAAAGGGATATGAATGTATTAGAAATTCAGGGCAGGTTTTAGTAGTATAATTTTGATCATTAAGATAGCTCTCCAAGAACTAAACTTCAAAAATCACAAGTCTGAAGATGGTATATTGATGCTAAATCTTCAGAACTAAAGTGTAAAATTCACTTTAAGCAGTTTCTGCTACTAAAAAATTCAAAGATGATAATATAATCAAAATTGTCAACCATCTAGACACATCCTTCTTTCTCTTCACACCTGAAATTTTTTTTGCAACATGGCATGGACCAAATATTAAGGGACTCATTATATACTGGTGAATTTAAGCCCACCAGTATATAAAAGTAAGCATAGTGAAAATTAAGACATTGATTTAAAAAAAACAAGTAATAATGAGATGTGGGCAGTAACTACATTCCAAATGAGAGGAAATTTTGTCTTTTCTTGGTTGGATCACACTAATTATCAAAGACTTGGCAGAAGTCTACCCCCTCTAATTGCATATAATTAGTAAATTGACATTTCTGAAAATGGCAGTGATTATGATTACATGGTGCCATTAAATATCCTCCTACAAGGTAGCTGTTCTGGTAGTTTAGTCTTTACTGCTGAAAACATTTCATTCTTGCTATTTTCATGGGAACTTTCTTGTAATTAAGTCTACACTTATGTAGCATCTTGATGGAAGCTTGGAAATACAAGAATTTTTATATTGAAATTTATGAAGAGAGCAGTCACTGAATTATTGACCAGATTTTCACCACTATCATTAGAGCAGTGATTTGTGAAAATTTAGATATAAATGATTTTAGATATGCTTTACATAATTTTCATGAAAGAAATGAAAGTAGATGAACTATGGTTCCCATGTGGTATATGAATTTATGCTTATTAAAGACTCAAAACTGGAAAAATATCTTCTCAATATAGTAGGTATTATATCTTACTATAATTTTATTTTGAATTGGGTGGATTCCATTTCCATGTGGGTAACTTCTGTGTGCTCCTACTATAATTCCCAACTTCTAATAAATTGAGAGTGCCAAGGAAGACTTCAATAAAACATTGTCATAAAAATGAAAAATGATTTTTAATACTCCAAGTTTAATATGATGGATACCTTGCTCCTATCAAAGACTGCAAAACATTTAAGATTTGGGTTATAATCTTAAAATCTAGAAATTATCATGTTAATTTGAGCTAATAGAATATAAAATTTTTACTTCACATCTCACATCATTTTGAATCAAACCCAATGGAAGAAAAATGAAAGTTTTCATTTAATATTTTTCTCCATTGTGAACATTCATCAGCATTTATTCAAAATGGCATATCTTTTGAGTGAAACTGGTTCAATGACTAGTGAAATATATTTATAATATTGAGGGTTATTTGGTTGTTCAATGTATTTACCTTTGTAAACTAAAACCAATAACTCTGTTAGTAAGACCTAAATCTATAACACAAAAGTAAAGCTTCATAAACTTAATTTTACAGAAGTTAGGGTAGCATATTTTTCTTATTTTATTCCATTTAGCCAGAAACCTATTAGTCATAAAATATCAATTAAATATGACATTGTTCTAGTTTAGAATGGAAGGAATTATTCTCCCAAAGGTTTGAATACATTTTCAAGTGGTTCACACAATTTGGTTACACGTTTATATAACATTAAGTTCAAATATAGGTCTGTTACAGTGTTAGATTTATCATAGAAGCTTTACAACTTGTGATTTTTGACTAAAGTATTTGTCTATTGATGAATTATTTATGTCAAAATGTATAGATTTACAAATGACTCCCTATAAATTACTCCTGCTAAGTACTTATTATACAAACAATGGGATAAAACATAGTGTGGACTGAATCACACCCTAAAGGAAATAATTTTCCCCCTGCATAGAAGAGTAATTATATAGGGAAAACATAATGTTCAGTTTTTGACTAAGAAAGTAATCTTTCAGTTGGTTGGAAAAGATAGAGCAAACATTTTAAATTACAATAATTGATGTAATTCTTGGAAGAAAAAATATGCTGATAAAACTGTCATTGTAACTTTAATTTCTTTGTACATACGTTCTTTAAAAGCAGAGTGTGGAGGCCCATGTCTGTAACCCCTCCACTCTGGAGATGGAGGAGGGAGAATCACAAATTTGAGGTCAGCCTGGGTTACAGAGTGATACCCTGCTTCAAAATACATTCTTTGCAATTCTGTAGTCACGTATTCCTTTTTACTGAGCACACATTCCTTTCCTCTCATGCTAGGTTTGGACGCAGTGCCCAGGAACCTTCCCCCTGACACAACACTGCTGGACCTACAAAACAACAAAATAACAGAAATCAAAGAGGACGACTTTAAGAACCTGAATAACCTTCATGTAAGAAATATTTATTTATTTATTTATTTAGTCATAATAAGATGTAACGCAAAGTATTTTTCAAAACAAAACCTAGGTAAGGCCAAAGGTGTTTGTGGTAGTAAACGAGCACGTGTCTATTAAATTTCTTCTTAATGATGGAGGATGAAGTGTCATATTAACTAATCACTAAAACTTGTCCAACGTTCCTACATATCCTCCACATGCCTTTAGTATGTGCTTCAAAAAAAACCCTACATATCTTAATCCCCTTCCATGTTTCATGAATACACTATTCATCTTCTCAATTAAGCTGTACTTCAGTAGTGGGATAAAACTCAAAACACATGCATTTTTTTTTTTTTACTTTTTAAAAAATATCTATCTTGATATCATTTCATTTCTTTTGTTTTCTTTCATTCAGTCTCTAAGAGAGGCATGAATAACCTAAATTCTCTTGGTACCAAGAGAAAAAGCAATAATCATCCATACATTATTTAATAAACATAATTCTACAGCACATGTATGTTGCTATATATGTCTATGCATATATATATATATATTATACATTTCTTACTTTGTCTTTAGGATTTTGCACACTGCATCCTTAGTTGTGTTACCACTTATCTTTACCCAGCTGAGTTAATATCCCAATAACATCCAATTTGCTGGGCAGGAGTCTGTCATAAAAGAGATGGCACTTTGAAAAGGGTTTCATGGAGGATGCTTAACAGAAGGGACTGTGTGTAAATGGGCATAGAAACTAACAAGGCATTGTAAAACATGCAGACCCACAAGGCCTCAGGACCTGAAGGAACGAGGGGAAAGTCAAAGACCCAAGGAGAGGTGATCCTGCCTCATAATTTCCTGCAAATGTCTCTTATGGCTGAACCTTCTTACAGGCTGTAAAATGAGAACATTGAGTTGATGCAGGGGTCAGCTTCCCAGGACACACAGAACAGAGTGAACATAAATGTAGATGGGAGAGGATATACTGTAAGTAGAGGTCCAAATCAATCAAATATAGTTAAACCTTCTACAGCAATCTTCTGTAAAAGAAAATGCATTGTCTGTTGATATAGGGCACCAGAACCACTGTGAAGTTTGTTACTTAGTCTAGTAACTCTGTACCTGTGGGGTGAGTATGATGATTCTGTGGTTTCCCCTGAGAATATCAGTGCACATTTAGTATAAGTAAGTCATGCAATAAAGTCCAAAAGGGATGTGATGGTAACTGCTAGGCCACTCTTAAAGTGTCAGGTATGGTATTTGGCAAGGCTTGTTAGGAATGACATTGCAGAGCTTCTACAGAAGGGTGACCATGGGGATAAAGGATTGGAAATCATGTGTTATAGGCACAATTGATGGAGATGTGGATATCTAAGTTGAATGAAGAGCTGAATGACTTATTTGAAGGCCATGACGGAGAAGAGGAATTATATTTACTTGCTTTAACTACGAGATGATAGAATTATCTTAGAGAAAAGAAAAAAGTTTCAGGGAAATTAATTTTGTTGAACATTAAAAATGCAATTTAGCTGGGGGTTGGTGGCTCATACCTGTAGTCCTAGCTAATTGGGATGCTAATATTGGAAGGATTGTGCCTCAAGGTCAACCTGGGGAAATCGTTCTGGAGACCTCATTTCCAAAATAAGCAGAGCAAAATAAACTGGAAGTGTGGCTTTGCAAGAATATAGCCCTGAGTTCGAACCCCAGTCCCACAAAAAATGAAATGCAATTTAAAGTGTTAGAATTTTCAAAAAATGAGATATGGTACCTATCTATGGAGATAATAACAGTTTTAAAATAATGACTGTCATAGAAATATGTTTGTAAGATTGAGAGCAGGAACAGTGAATTCTAATTTAAAATTCATTTATTTATTGTAGTTATTATAGATAAAAATTGAGGATATATGTAGTAAAATAGTCAAAATGTGGTAAAATAAGAACATGAAATAAATCACCTGACTGATACATATTAGAATAAGAAATTTAGATACAGGGGCAATAACAAAATATAAAATAGAATAAACTAGCCTGAATCTATTACACAATTAATATACTCAAGATAATATTTAGTTATGAACTTCCTGACAGCCAAGATCAGAAAAGCAAAAAACAATTATCTTTAGGAGAATATATATCAGATTTTTTAAAGGACCCAAATATATTCCCTAAGACTTTCAGATTCTATATTGAATATGCTAATAAAATAAAATCATTTTAAACACAACTATTAAAAATATTCCACATATTAAACAAGATAAGCCATGCTCAGAAAGCCAAATATCAAACAGTACATGTTGTTCCTCATTCTTGAATCTATAAGTAAAATGTTGATTATAGTAATAGTGGGACACGAATATAAAAGGAAGATTGTGGGGGAGGAGCAGTGGGAGAGAAGAATGAAAAAGGAAAGAATATTGAGGAGTGAAGAGGATAGAAGTACATTATACATACAAAGAGAGCATAATGAAACACATCAAACTGTTTGGAAAAGGGGGTAGGACGAAGGGGGTAAGGGAATATAAGGGGGTTAACTTGTTCAAGTATACTATGCACATCTAGGACATTATCACAATGAAATTTCCTCATACTATTAATGTATGCTAATTGAAAAGTAAAATTTGAAAACTTAAAAAATAGTTTTAAAAGACAATAGCATAAAATAAAGTGCTATGGCCAATTTTTTTTGATGTGCCCAATAATATAAACACAATATGGTATAAGTAGTGAATGTTTAGAGAAAAATCAGACACCATCATCTAACATCTTAGATGTTCTGAGAAAACATGGAACAAAAGAGCTTTAGAGGATTAGCAGAATTTGGAAAGGCAGAGAAAAAAGGGGTTTCTATGCAAGAGAAAAACAAAGGCAGAAGAAAACAGCAACAGACAGTAAATTACCAGCTGCCGGAGTGAAAGATACAAGTTTCAAAACAATGGCGAAAATGGCCTGCGTTAGCCCAAAGTTTGAGCCCGTGGTCCATTTGCAATGATAGGATGCAGGCGATGGACCTCACTCACCACCATCTGTGCATGCATCTTAAGGTTTCACTGGGAGTAAGTTGATGTTGAAACCAAGGCTTGTCAGTGACTAAGCTGCCACTGAAATAAGTTTAACAGGCAACAATGAAGAGTGAATATCATTAATTTCGAGAAACTAAAATAGCTTTAAAATTACATTTTATTTTCATAACTTTATCCTAAAGTTCCTTTTTTTAAAAGGAAGTTTTCTTACTTTAACCTCAACTTCCTAGATATTTAAGTGTAATCTGAATAATGTTTTAAAACTCTTTATATCCTTAAGCAAGGGAATCTAGTTTCTATGGCGTTCTTTTTAAATCAGTCTGGGTAGTAATGTGTCCTTTCTTTTCCCAAGTCTCCCTCTAAGTGTGTTTTTAAGCAGCCATCATCTTGGTGATCCCTCTCTTTCTACTTCAAAGTGTACATCGGAAGAAGAGAAAGAGTTTATTAGAGCTTCTGACGATGCAGAGGATGTTAAATAGCTATTTTTCTCTTACTCTTTCATTCATGATCTTTTTCCATCCTTGTTATTATGCAAACAAACATCATAATTTCAACTAGGAAAGCTGTACTTGAAGAAAGGAGGAGAGAAACAAACATTCAGCTAGTATTAAAATAGAATTTAACAGAAAACAAAGGGTTCCTTTATTTTTCAATAATTGTATTCTTTTACAACTTTGTGGTTTATTACATGTGAGTTTTATATAGATAGTAGAAAAATTATATAATTGTTTCATAAAATAATGGAAAATGAAGTGTAGCAATGCTAGCATTTGATATATTTCTTTTGGATTAAAACAGAATAAATCTACTAAGGAAGTATTTTTAAACTTAAAAATCAAGAAAAATAGTCAACAATTGAATAATAGCAAATACTTGCTTAGCAATTGCTGTATATGAAGTATGTTCTTAGTATACATATATATGTACTGACATATATATAGTATATATTAACTTATATATATAACATTTAATTCTCCTAACTATTCTTATTCTTACGCATTATACCATCTTAATATCCTATTAACACAGACAAGGAAAAAGGCAGAGAAAGGTTAGTTGCTTTCTCATAGCCACACAGAAGAGGCTGGGTTTAGAAACTCAGGACAGGTCTGCTTGAACATTGCACTAATAATTTCCTACAAATATGAGAGTAACCAAAAATACCCTTAGGGCAATTCCTGGTATGTAAGCCCTACATAAGAGACTTGAGGGAAAATCTACACAATGCTAAAGATCAGATTTCAACATTTAACCTAAAATGAACCAGGTTTTTCAGAACACATTTTATAATTTAACCACATCAGGTTTCAAAATTTCCCAACATGAAAATTTCCTTTGCATTTTCACTAATTTTCTGTCATTGTGTGTGTCTAATAATGATGAAGTTGCCCCACTCTTTGCTCCTCTGGTTCTGACTTTTACTGATTTTCCTTGTCACTGCCAATTTTTGATAACCTAAGTCAACATGAGTATTGGAATTTTCTGTAATGTTCATTAGAATTTCTTAAAATTTTGTATTAAAAAGCATTGTATATGTCAGAATTAAATATTAAAAAAAGTTGTAGTTCATCAAAAATGTGCACTACATGAGGATATGTATGAATTAATTGACCAGGTATTCAGAAAACATCCCTGCTATACCTGAGACTGAAAATTATCACAGTCCTAATACTACAATTAGTTTTTGCATTCTCATGCATGCAAAAATGAGTACTTCAATTGAAAGTGCAAAATTCTTAGATCTTGATAAAATTATCTTAAATTCCTTAAGAAAAGTTGATAAAATTGATTTAAGAAACACGGTGAGGTTCTGTTAGAACATATAGAAACAGAATAAAGTAGTCCATGGTTTAGCAATGGGAGGGGCATAAGATTAATGAATTAGAGGTAATTTCTTAAATTAGAACTCAGACAAAAATCAGAAAATTACCAAAAGCATTAGTGTATTTGTTATAAAAGGAAAAATGCCAAGAAGATGAACATTTTAAGATTCTTTATGTCATACTAAATACATATTTATTTTCTAAGCCAATTATTAAATGTGATAAAATGAGAAGGATTTATGATCAGGAAATATCATCTGTCTTTAAAAGTACAATAAATAGAAAATCAAAGAATAATTGTTTAATTTTTCAAGAGATAAGGAAATGCAAAACAAAACAATGAGCTACAACAGAAGTGATATTAATTTGGCAAAGACTTGAAAAAAGATATAAAATTTTGTGAGGCTACAGTAAACTTTAAGTCACTTATATCCTGGCAGTAGTATAAAGTGGACTAGGACTTTTGTAGTGGAATCTGTGATAAAAGTCAGTGAAGATGGACCTTAGGTGGAAAAGCTGACTAAGACAAGTTCATTGACGACACTGTTTGTATCATGGGTCATTCCAGTAATTTCAGCCTTCAGGATTATTTGTTGTTAAAATTATATAGCATACATATGCATACATATGCACACATAAACATATAGTAAAAAATCACATCTGCTTCCTTTTTTAAATTTCTTACAATTTTCCAAATTTCTCTTTCAGTTATAGGAGTGGAATAAATAGACTATATACTTAGTTTACGCACACACTCACACAGATACACACACACACACAGAAATACAGAGGATTTTTTCTATTTAAGGAAATGTTTCTGTTTGCTTTCTATAGGCATTGATCCTTGTGAACAACAAAATCAGCAAAATCAGCCCTGGGGCGTTCACACCTTTGGTGAAATTGGAGCGACTTTATCTGTCGAAGAATCATCTGAAGGAATTGCCAGAAAAAATGCCCAAAACTCTCCAGGAGCTACGCGTCCATGAGAATGAAATCACCAAAGTGCGAAAATCTGTGTTCAATGGATTGAACCAGATGATTGTCATAGGTACAGATATTTTTATAACTTGAAGATCAGTATGCAAAGTTCACCTTAGGAAGTTTTTTCAAGTAAGCTTTAGCTGCAAAGTGAGTGAGCTGGAACCTATGTGCCTGAGGCTGTATGAATTACAGTAGCAGTCATAGAGAGAAGGAAGTGGTGTTTCTCTTCCTTGATCTCACAGATCTGAGGACATAGAGAAAGGTCCAGGACTGAAGTTACCCTACCACATACACAGTAGACAGATGGAGTTAAGTAGCCCTTAACGAGAGATGTTGTGGCATACCTTTCCATGGTGGAAATTTGTTGTGTTTTGAACATCCATAAATCATTTGCTTTAAATAACATGGTATAATGTTTGACTGTAGATGTGGTTTAAAAAAGGAATTTTGTAATTGCCTTACAAAATGCTACATTAAAATTCTTTTTATATGTTTTTTATTTATTTATATCATACTTGAATTCACCCCCTGCACCATTCTCCTTAGGAAAGTAATGCATAAGGTATTACATAAGTACTAGCTTTAAAGTTAAGTGTTTTGTGGGCAAACATTAAATAATGCTGTTTTGATATTTTATTTTATAAATCTTTTTAGTTATTGATTGATTTTTGAGACAGGACCAGCTTGGAACTCAGAGATATGCCTGCCTTTACTTCCTGTTAGGTGTTAGGATTAAAGGCAGGGATTACAAACAAGTAGCATCACAACTGGCTTTTGTTTGTTTTAATAAGGCAAACTCTCATTCCATTTTGCTCTTGTGAAGAGTATGCTCTTTGGGTCTTCATTTGTCTATCACTCAAGATGCTGCTGATCCAGATTTTTTTCTAGGATCCTTGCTGAAAGGGACACCACTGTGACTTGTATTATCCTAAACATTCCTCTAAAAGCTTTGCTCATATTACATTTGTAGAACTGGGAACCAACCCACTGAAGAGCTCAGGAATTGAAAATGGAGCCTTCCAGGGAATGAAGAAGCTGTCTTATATCCGCATTGCTGATACCAGCATAACTGCCATCCCTCAAGGTGACAGAAACGTCTCCAAAGTGTTTGGAAATATCTGAGTCCAAATGCTCTGATATTTAAGTGACTATGAGAATTTAAATTGTGATCCAAGTGTGAAGTACTATTTCCAGTAAATATAAATTCTCTATTGCTGAAAGTGGTTCTAGTGAGTATATGTGACTACTGAGCCATCCAGGTACATTGTAAAGACCTTATAAAGTCCTTTCTATGATGTGACTTAAGGCAATGGATTTGTATTGTTTAGAAAAAGTAACAGTTATTTAAATGCAGATAGCGCACTTCTCTAGCATATGTAAGGCCCTGGGTTTCATCTTCAGTTCCACAAAATTAAATAAAAGTAAATAAGTAAATAGTGAATAAATGAATAAATATGTGCCTTTGTACTTTGTAAAAAAGGAAAAGAAAAAATGATACGTGGAAGTTATCTCTGCAACTGAGGCAATTTTTAGGTTGAGTCTCTAATCACCTAGGGAATTCTTTCCATTTTAGAACTTTCCGTTCATTGATATTTCAATTAAGGTACCTACCAGTCTTACTTAATTCTGGTGGTTGTACAGTGTAAGTCTTGGAATCCATTTGCTGGCGTTCCAATGGTCATTAATTCACTCAGGGGTTCTCAATTTCTTTATTTGAAAAATGGGAATAATGTTCATATCCACCTCAGTGAATAATCCGAAGAACACCTGGCACATAGGTAAGTAGGGAAATACTGCCTCCTATAATTCATTAAAAATGTTTCAAACATTCACTAGGTTTAGACAGTGTACTCAACACCGGAGACAGACCAGTGAATGGGGGGTTTCCTACCTTTAGCAGCTCAGTAGCTAAAGCAAAGCCAGAAAAATAATCTGGGATCACCACCCAGTCACAGGAAAATCTCATCAGGCTACCAGGTACCCAGGAGGGTACATCAGTCAGTCTTTGTAAATCAGAAAAGGCACTAAAACACCAAAAACCTTGGACCATGATCCTTCTCCTGTCTTCACTCTCAAGTACCCAAGATTTCAGGCATGAGCCACTGTGCCCAAGCTTACAAACATTTAGACTGTATTAGGAATTAAAAGTAATCTAGAGGTGACTTAAAGAATACAGGATGATTATTTTTAAAGAATACAGGATAATTATATGCAAATATTATACCATTTTATGTAATGGACTTGAGCATCAGTAGATTTTGGTATCCATGAGAGTCCTGAACCAATCCTCTGCAGATACTGAGGGACAAGTGTGTATATGTACAAACACACACACACACAGAAAAGTATGTATCTACACATATCTTGAAATACTGTGTGTGTGCGTGTGGGTTTGTGTGAATCAGTGTATCTGTGTGTGGAGGGGGTTGTGTGAATCTGTGTATATGTGTGTATGTGTGTAAATCCTAAAGAGGCAGGAGGTGAAGCAGCTGGAATTTTCCCACCAATGTATGCTGCTGCATGACTTTTTTGAGCACAATGTTTCACCAAAATATCCCTCAGCCATACAGCTTATCAAAGCAGTCAGTTTCCCTCCACTTTTTTTAAAACTCTTATCTCCATCCTGTGTGCTCTCTTCTCATCATTTCTGGTTTGCTGTTATTTACCATTGCTTATTCGTATAAAAGTTATAAAAAGTACAATTTACTAGGCATTTACCAGTGCCAGGCATCATACCACACTTCTCATGGATTTAAAACATCCCTACATAATAGTATCATCCTTATTTTCTAAAAGAAAAAATTAGGCTTTAAAAGGTGAAGTAGCTGGGTGTAGTGGTTTACACCTGTAATCCTAGGTACTTTTAGGCAAAGATAGGGAGGATTGTAGTTTGAGGCTAGCCCAGGCAAAAAGTTCATAAGATCCTATCTCAGCAAGTAAAACACTGGTCTTGGTGGTACACACAGATTATCCCAGCTGCACAGGAAGTGTTAATAGAAGGATGGTGGTCCAGGCCAGCTGGGTATAAATATGAGAACTTATTCAAAAATAACTAAACTAAAACAGGCCAGGGGTGTGGCTCAAGTAATGGAGTACCTCCTTACAAACACAAGAGCCTGAGTTCAAACCCCAGTACTACCACCACCACCACCAACAAAAAAGTATAGAGGTAAATTGTGACCAAGTTCTTCAAGCTAGGAAGTGGCAGAGCTGAGATGGTTTTGGGCTTAGGTCACAGCTCTGTGACTATTTCACTGTGTTGTCATTCATCTCCTATGCCTAATGAATGAGTCTACCATTCTTAGGCTGGCACTCTCCAGCTTTCTGGTAGAGTAGACATTTTACATACGAAGTACATGAAACAAAGGAATCCTCATTTATTTTATCTTGAAAAAAGGAAAGAGAAAATAAATAAAAGTACCAGAGATCAATATATTTAGGCAAATACCATGTGGCTAAGGGTGATGAGGATCTTTATAAATCTGCCCCTCTGGTGATAGATGTGAGTATTGATGTTCTACAGACATTGCATCTTTAAAAAAATTAAAAAGATCTTTTCATGGTGATAGAAAAGAAAGGATGAGCCTGCAGTTTGCTTTGTTATATACACATTTGCTTTCCTTATTTTAGGAAACATTAAAAAATTTATATTCATTTTTTCTAAGGGAATCCAGTGGTCAAAATTCCTTATTACCAAAGTGGTTGTAATCTGATATTTATTCTTAAGAAAAATTCAATTTTTATTTCATTTCCTCCAGTTAGGAGCATGTTATTTTAACTTCCTATGGCCACCTAACAGCATAGGACGTTCCTCCCCTGAAAAGTGGGTATATTACAACATATATAACTTTGTGCCTCTGTTTCCTTACCAAGACAATGAATTGATTACCAATCATTTGTACATTGAGAGAACTAACGGAATTGAGTTAACAAAAGTGACAAGGTCAAGTTTTGGTACATAACAGATGCACAATAAATAGAAGTGTATTTCTCCTATACTAAACATACTCCCATGAAGAAACATAGTACTTTTAAGTCAAATGTAAACAAAAGTATTACATTAATCAAAAATATTAACATAAAGCAGTGTGATAGAATGAAAATAACTATGCTACCAATAACCAAGACTTTTGACAAGCCCCTTTATTTTTGAATAAAAATGTACACAATTTTCTATTTTCATTGCAGTTTTTGCTATTCTTTGAGATGGAACAATGTGCTATTTAAAGAGCTGAATAAAAATATGATACATCCTCAGGTGGGAGGAGGAAATGAAACTAAAACATTTAAGCTTTTATATTTATATTACTACATCTTTAGAAATCGCCGTCATCCAGGGAGTACTATCTAGAGGTTTAGTGGGTATTTTAGATCCTAAATTATTTCCCCAGGTGCTCTACCTAAGGCACAACGCTCGATTAGAGATCTGTGCATTCCTATTGTATTAGAAAACAGTCTTGATTTGACAGGTGAAAGTAAGCATTAGCTCTTTCTGCACAGCCATGATACAGAGGCATTTGTTATTTTTATGGAAAAGTTGATTAAAAAGGCAGCATGTTCATGATAGCTACTAATGATTTTCAATAATGAAATACCTGGCTATAGTTGTATATAAGCTTAATTTAAACATAATGTTTTCATTTTAGTTTAAATGTTCATTTTCCCCTTTTATATTTTATATCTTTTCATTAGTGGTAATATTAGCTCGTGAATAAAGGTGGAAGAGAATAATAAGATTCAGGGTTTAATGTCAGTGCTACTATTGCCCAGACAAACATTTACTATGTGATGGAAGTAGTTAATGATTTTTTTTTAAGTCCATCCAGGAGATAAGTAGCCAGGACTTATGCTACTTTTAAAAGCATATATTATTATACAACGCATTATAAAAAGATGGAAAACAAAAGTGATTCTTTGAAACTATATATTTTAGCAAAGTAATGGCAGGTGTCCTCATGAAGGTTTTCTATGTACTGTACTGATAATACTGATTTGCTAATTTATAATCTTCTCTTTCCACCTTCCAGGTCTTCCACCTTCCCTTACCGAATTACATCTTGATGGCAACAAAATCAGCAAAATTGATGCTTCTAGCCTGAAAGGACTGATTAATTTGGCTAAGTAATAACATTCTTCCACTACTTTCTGTCAGAATGGTGACCACATAATGACTGATTTTTATTTGATTTTTGTGATATTTTGTTGTTATTTTTAAGTCAAATTTCAGCATATCTGATAATTTCTTGAACAAAAAGTTAATGAGATAGTATGCATGCTATCAGCACCACAATCAGCTTATTTCATGAATACCATATTGTTTTTAGATCTTAAGTTCAAGGTGTTTGATTAAATCAGGATTTAGCTGAACATGGTCATTCAATATATTCTAACTTATTGACATCAAACAAAAGGTTAAGAAAATTACAGTGTCCCAAAGTTGAAAATGTATTAAGATGAAGTCTACCAGAATATAGAAATATCACACATCCTATAGATTACTATTAGAATAGTTGCAGCAAAATTTTCTAACTCCTATACTCTGAATAGTTTAAAATAAAATATCCCTGCACATTTAATGTAGGCCAACAAAAGAAAAGTTATTTTTGTGGTTCTCCTCAACATTTTTTTCTTTATATATCATTGCTAATATCTGCTTTCTAATTTAATTTCAATCTCTCTATTTGCAATCTGTTTTAGCAATAAAAACATAATGCTGGCAAATGTTTTGAGTAATTTCAAGGAATACTCTATTTTTGATATGTGTATATTCCTGAGTGTTTTTACAGAGAATGTTCCTGCTGTGGTATTATTGCCAATGGACTCATTTGTCTTCTTGGATGTAAAATTCCTGGTAGAAAAATAAATATAAATTATATCCTTATATGTTCAAGAAACACGATCAAATGAACACATAAGGTAGATTTGCCCATTTCCATCAATACTTTCCAATGGCCCAGTGGAGAGTAAGGGCTGAAGATGAGCAAGATGTGTGAATATAGTTATGATATATTACCCTTATGTAGCAGGTAATAAGAAATGCTTCATGCAGGGGTATTGTAACTGCAATCTTTAACATGGAAAACATCCTTCACAATAGTATGTTGTGTAACTTAGCTTTCTTTGTTAATTTGGTCCCTCTAGCTGCAGAGACTTGTAGGCAGATAAGGTACCTTATTTGCTATGTAAAACAGTCTTTAAGATGGTTATTATCATTGGCCTACTATTGGTAGTTGTAGTCACAATAGTAGTAGGGATAAATAATGTTTTAAAGTTGTGAATATGGTTAATCATAATATATCTGCTTTTCTAGAAAAAATCCCCTTTATTTTGTATTTGAAATGATATTTTGAGATTCTTCACTTCAACATTGTCGTCATAGGTTTTGTATCAAACAGAAACACAGTTAACGAACTATGGAAGGCTAATAGAAATTCAGATGTCTCTTTTTGTGGATTTTGAATTCCATTCACTCTTTCATGGGTCAGGCAAACTTTCTCAATTCTTGAATTGAACAAACACATTTCTTTTGGACTCAAATCCAAAAAATATACATCAGACTATCAAATCATTATGCTGTTCATTTTTTGCTGAAAATAAAAACTGTGCAAAGAAAAAAATAAGCAGTCACTGATCTCAGAGCATTGTTTCCAGACAAATGTTCCAATTCATTATTGTGAACAAATTGGGAGAAAATAGTATATGTCCCTCTTCATGAGTGCAAAATATAAAATGATTATATATATACTAAAAATATAAATAGTTTTATATATAAGTACACATACACAAACATACACACACACACACACACACACACACACACACACATGGAATGACAAAGGGGACAGGACACACAGAGATTCTGAGTCAGAAGCATTTGGTACCAGGTAGTTCCTGAGACTGTTAGATGGTCACCAGGGAACTATTTCAAACTAATGCAACAAGCTAATTCTGTTAACCTTCCTAGAAAATCGATTTATTGACTTTTTATTTTCTATGAGTAAATTTATACAATAAATGCACAACTTTTACATTTCCAAAGTGAGCAAAATGATTCTACCATTTCTTTTAGTTCTTATTTAGTACTGTTATTAATTCATGACACTTAGAAATCAGGTCAACCAGCTGTTTTTGAGCTTGCCAAATACTATGTTAGTGCTGGATATACCACAAGACAGTCACCATTCCAAAGGTCAGACATACAATACACTGGCCTTTAAAACATGACCCTTATATTTTCAAGAGATTAACTACAGAATGCCATAGTGCCTTTACCAATGACCCCCATTCAGTCTTGATCTGTCAGTCTCAGAAGGTTAATCTGAGCTGAAATCTTAAGAATCAGCTTTGTCTAGACTCAGAGAGGTTAGAAAAGCATTCCAAGCAAAGGGAACAATGTGCAAAACCAGAAAATGTCCTTTTCTCTCCGCTCACTTGATCACACAGGGCCTACAAAAAAGGCACTCGTGAGTTGTGTATGCATTCACTTCTGCCTTCTATTGCAGGTTGGGGTTGAGTTTCAACAGTATCTCTGCTGTTGACGATGGCTCTCTGGCCAACACTCCTCATCTGAAGGAGCTTCATTTGGACAACAACAAGCTTATCAAAGTACCTGGTGGCCTGGCAGAGCATAAGTACATCCAGGTAATACAAAGTCACTGCTCATTGTAAGGAGTATCTAAAAACTAAACCCTCCCTACTGGGATTCCAGAAATAGTTTTGTCAGTGTCCCTAGTATGCTATAACAAAATACCATAAATTGAGTGGCTTGAACAACAAACATTTATTTCTTAAAGTCCTCTGGGGGCTGAAAGTCTGAGATCAGGATGCAGTCTGGTTGGGCTCTGGTGAGAGTCCTTTTCTGAGTTTCAGACTGCTAACGTCACATTTTATTCACGTGGCAGAAAGAGAGCTAGCCAGCTCCCTGGCCTCTTCATATAAGATCAGTAACCCCATTAATGAGGGCTCTTCCCTCATATCTTAGGTACCTCCCAAAAGGCCCTGATACCAAGATGCTGGGATTACAGTCAACATGAATTTGGGAAGATATAAAACTGAATCCATTGCTTAGAAAGTTATTTATAGTATTTTCACATAAATATTTATTCTGGTTTTTAAAAACAGAATTAATTTATTATTTTTTTAAAAAACAGTACTACTTACTTGAATCTACTATAATGCTTGCTGCCAAAATATAGTATCTATTATGGGGAAGGTACTGAGACTTGAACTCAGGGCCATTCATTTGCTAGGCAAGCACTGTCCCCCAGAGTCACACTCCAGTTCTAAAATATAGAATCCGCTATGAAGCACAATTTTATCAGGAAGATGATATAATCTGTGATGTGCTGACAAGGAATAAAACAGTAGTTTTAACTTTTAGATTCCATGTATGTCACATAACTGAAAACAATGTTTAGTCATCAGTATGGCTGAGTTAACTTTATGTAAATTATCAATTTTATTTATTTATTTTTTCTTTATTGATAAAGATAGGAAAATATGAGTCAGTGATCTACTGTGGTGACTGTATTTTGCAGTCTGTAATTCTACAAATGAAAGGCATGCTTATTAAATATCAATAACAATAATCAGGAAATAATATGACTTTCATTCTTGCTTTGAAGAAATAAAATTATAAATGGTGCAAAGTCTAATTCATTTTTGAATGTGCATAGACAATTATCCCAATGTCATTTGTTTTACTTAAAAACTCTGGGGGAGTGGTTCATGCTTACAATCGCAGCTGCTTGGGAAGTGGAGATAAGAGGATTGTAAGTTTGAGGCCAGTCTGGCAAAAAATTAGGGATACCCTGTCTCATAAACAAAGTACAAATAAAATAGTTGAGGATAGGTAGCTCAATGGGTAAAGTGCTCTCCTAGAACAGCCCTGGGTTCAATACCCAGGAAAAAAAAAAGAAAAAGGCAATGTTTTCCTCTAATGGATTGCTTTGCATTTTTGTTGGAAATCACTGGACCATAAATTTGAGGATTTATTTCTGGACTTTCAATTCTATTACATTTGTCTATATGTCTATCTTTATGATAATATATGCCTTTCTATATACTTATGTATAACTTCCTGTAATGAATTTAAGAAAATTGCAACACTCATATACTAAACATGACAAAACATTGCTGAGAAAAATTAAAGAAGATATAATTAGAGCATTATTTTTTGGGTTTTAATTGAGAGATTCAATATCATCTATGGCAGTTTTCCTCAAATTGATCTATAGACTTAACACAATCTTTTTATTCCTAGTTTATCAGAAACTTTTATCATGAAGGCTGCTGGATATTTTTCAAACCTGTTTTTTTGTTTATTGGCAAAATCATGGTTTGCATTTTATTATTTAACATAGTTAAATTGATTGATTTTTAGATGCTAATCCATTTATATCCCTGAGATAAATTATATTTGATCATAGTATGTAATCCTTTAGTATGTTGTGAGATATAGTTTCCTAATATTTTTTCTAAGTATTGAAAAAAAATGTTATGTGTAATTATAGTTTCCTTGTATATATTTTTGTGTGGCTTTGGTGTTAGACAATATTAACCATGTAGAATGAGCTGAGACTTTTTCACATAGACTATTGATTGTTTTATGCCTTGATACTTTCTACTCTTACTTTCAATATCTACTATAAATTCTTACTAAATAGCCTGCCCCTTTCTTGCTAATCGCTGCTGAAAAAGAATAGATAGTGACAATAAGAAGTTTTCAAAATTCAAGAATCATAAAAATTTCTCAAAAATTATTGCTATCATTTTAATATCACTTGCTTCTATTTATTATGACAGCTACTAACAAGGCATTTTTAAAACCAATATTTGAATGCGGACATTCCAGTACTTAGGGCCATATTTCAAGTCAATATTTTAAATCTCATTTCCAAAGTTCTGTTTTGACACAGGGTGTTTAGTGTAGCCCAGGGTTGGCCTGAACTTGTGCTCCTCCTGTCTTTGCCTCCCATATGTTGTGTTTAAAGTTGTGTATTACCATGACTGGCTTCTGTCATTTTTATAAGTCTAGTATCTAGCAGGTCTAAGAAAATGAAAAAAGCATGATCATAAAACATATTCTAGAAAAGAACATATTCTAGAAAGTTCTAGAAACTTTTTGTTAAAATTTTTACAGCCAGGTGTGTTGAGGAAACACTTGTAATCCAAGCCCTGGGGGAGGCTGAAGCAGGAGAATTAAGAGTTTGAAGCCACCTGGGCTACCTAGCACATTGTCTCAAAAAACAAAACAAAACAGAAAAAATCCACACGTTTCAGATCTATTTATTGCAAATGCTGTTATACTTAGAAATATTTTTGCAATTTGTGACTATTTCAATTGATATTGTACTCTCTCTTTTTTTAATTATACATTACTTCCTCACTCTCTATAATTCTGTTAAAAAATCTAATATTTTATTTTTGCCCTGAACAGTTAGTATTCCACATGGACCTAATACAGTCTGTGAGGACACATTACATAATATAAAACAGCATTCACTCACTCAACCTATTTATTGAACACCTACTCTATTCTAGCAAGCACTGGAGCACCAGGCATAATGAACAAAACAGGTGTCTTCCTCATGGAGTTTTACTCTAGAAGAGGAAAACAGACAAATCTGAACAAATACGAAATATGCTACATAGTGATAATTGCTCAGAATGAAAATAAAGAAATGTAATTGAGTAAAGAATGGCAGGTTGGGGTGGTCAAGGAAAGCCTCTCTGTTAAGAAGCTATTACTGACATGAAGCAGCAAATCTTGCGGAGTCACAGAGGAGATTATTCCAGGTGGAGGAAACTTGTATGTGAAAACCTCAAGAGGATCATGTTTTATGTACAGGAAGCCCACATTTTTTTGGAGTTATTGCATGTGATTTTAGCCAAGCACAGTCAAAAATATAATAATTTTTTTCAGACATGAGAAGAAATTTCAAAAAAGAATGTAAATGCCTGCACACATTTCACGGCTCAGTTGATATGGAGAAACTCTCCCACATTATCATCAATTGTATTTCAATCATTGTGTAATCTACTGAGTGTTTCCCTGCCCTTAATTTTTGAATATCTGACTCCCCAAGAGCAAATGGTACCAACAAACCAAAGCTAAAGTTATGATAATCCTCCCAAGCCAAAACTACATGTAATGTGCTTAATTTAAATGATAAAGTGAAAATTTTAGACTTATTGAAAGATGCCATGTCATTACTGCAAGTTGGGCACTATGAGAAAAATGACTCAAGCATTTGCAGAATTTGAGATAAAGATGTAGTTTTGGTTGACCAGTATTAATGTGTCCAACAGTAATTTTTGTGACAGTAATGTAGCCTAACCCATGGAGTTTCATGCTAAGACCTGCTGTACATATGGCATAGGTAAATTTAGTGTATTGAACTCTATGCATTGTAAGGATTCATGGTTTTTCCTGAACAGCAGTCTAGTTGGAACCATATATCTGTGAATACTAAGGGTCTATAGCATTTAAAAAACAACAGGTTGACCAGATGGTTGGTTTGAACAGGGAATAGAGAAGAGGTCAGGTAGAAAGCTGTCTGATCGAGTATGCCTTGCCTGCATTGTGAAAACTTGAGTTTTTATCTGCATGAAAGGGGAAACCACTGGAGTGCCAAGGCAAAGAAGGTGTAATTTTCACTGTTTTTGCTTTCTATCACATTGCTGCTCTCGTTTTAAACTGACTTGTTGACTTAGTTTTTAAAGGAATTTCTCTGGAAGATAAAATAAAACAATTGACGTTTAGAATAGCAAAAGAGGAAGCAGGAAATATAATCAGGGCAACTTCAAAAACCCTGTAGTCTAGAGCACGGTTGGAGGAGTAGACATGAGACAAAAAACTGGATTGTGTGTCCATTTTGAAGATTAAGTTGGCAGGTATTGATGATCAGGTAAACATTATAATAGACAGGAAACACAAGTCTACTGATAGTGTTTATAATCTGAGCATCTGGAATGTTTAACTTTCAATTTACTGAGTTGGGGAAGACTAAGAAAGGGAAAAGCAAGTTTTGAAAGGATGGGGCAAACCAAAATCTTTGTTTGAGCAGTATTAAGATATTCAAACTGAATGATGAAAATATGTAAAAAGTATTTTCATGAACGGTCTCAGTATCTTCAGGAGAAAACAGTCATTCTCCATCGCTTCATGTTACAGGTTGTCTACCTTCATAATAACAATATTTCTACAGTCGGGTCAAATGACTTCTGCCCACGTGGACACAACACGAAAAAGGCTTCTTACTCTGGTGTGAGTCTTTTCAGCAACCCTGTCCAGTACTGGGAGATCCAGCCAAACACCTTCCGATGTGTCTTTGTGCGCTCTGTCATTCAGCTTGGAAACTACAAGTAACTCCCATGAAAGCCCTCATTTTTATAACCTGGCAAAATCCTGTTAATGTCATTGCTAACAAAAATAATAAAATAAGTAAAATTTTGAAAAAAGAATGAAAGCTAGATATTGGAAACTTAACTGGATTGTGGATGTTTTCCCCACATGACTTATTATACATAAAGCCAAATATGCAGTTTAAAGACTTGCCTACAATAAAACATATTTTGCCTGCCATTTGCAGAATCATTTTTTAAAGTTTTCTGTTAACTGAGCTACTATGGGTGTTTTTATTTTACCAAATGTAAAATGTGGAATAACCACATATGTCAAAAATTTAGTAAAGCTTTCTTCTTGTAATTTTCAGAAAGAACCAAATAGAGTATCAGTCTTCTGTGATTTGTAGGGTAATTAACTCCTTTGGTATGAAGTGAAACACTACATGCTAGCTCTGTATTTACTTCAATTATTACTGGTAAAGCGTCATTTGAATATGTGAATCAATACAGGCTATGTAAAAGTTTTGCTAATGTTATTATGTTGAAAAAATAAATTAAAATGCACTCAAAAGTGATATTGTATAAAAGCTTAATTGTAAATATTATTTAAACTTAATTTTTTTGAAGAGAGTTGTCAATGATAGCACATATTTTCAAGTTCACAGACATTTCTCTCACCTGTTTCTGACATTTGAGTATGGCAACATTTTCTATGTTCACTGTTAAGCTTATGCAGCACAAAGTAGACTTTTTGATGAACCTAGACAGTGGATATTTCTGTTTACTAATACACTAAATCAATTTTGTAATGCTCTTGTGTACGATCAGGCTGTTGGCTTGTGCATTTCTACAGTGACCATATATACTAGAATACTGTCTTTACTGAATGGCTGAATTTAGAAACTTTAGATTTGGAAATAGCACTCAAAGCAGACAATTAAATGAGTCTGGTAGATGGCTGACTTAGAGTATTTATGGAATTATGCAATTATGCCATCAACTTCTTTTTTTGCAGTACTGGGACTTTGAACTCAGGGCCTTCCTCTTGCCAGGCAAGAGCTCTAACACTTAATCTATAACCCTAGCCCTGTATAATTTAGTTATTTTTCAGACAGGGCCTCATGCTCTTTTGCCAGGGCTGGTCTCAGATGGTAATCCTCCTACCTTCTCTTCCCACATAACTGAGATTACGTTTGTGTACCATGTCTGGCTTATTCTCTTAGGTAGAGTCTGACTAACTGTTTTTCCAGGTTGGCCTCAAACCTCTATCTTCTTATCTCTGCCTCAGAAGTATCTGGCATGAGTCAGTATACTCAGTCCTATGCCATTAACTTCTAAAAAGCAATCACTTGAAGATGGTTTGTTTTTCTACAAAATTGTACGTGTTGTGGTTGCAAATTCTAGAATTTCAAATCCAAAGTGGCTTAAACTACAAAGTGGAGTACTAAATAGTCCTGATAAGCTTTCACGTGTAGTTTGATGGCAGCTTCATTCAGGTTTCTCAGCAGTACTTTCAGCTTCATTATCTTTCATTCCATTTTCAGGCTGGCTTACTTCCTGATCACAAATTGTGACTTCCATCTGTTATTTCCCCGACTCTGAACACAAAAGCATATTATCTGAAAGTTTCTAGGCATAGTCATGAACTCTCCTCTGATTAGTAATACTATCTCCACAACCTCTGCAAAGTAAATATCATTAATGCTGTTTTGCAGAGATGGAAAATGAAGTTAGAATTTAAATAACTATCCCTGGTCGCACACCCAGAAGGACCTGGCACCAGTGCTTTCTCTTTAATCTTATGTAAGATGGGGTCTGGTTTATAAAAAAGCAGAATTGACTCTAGAGGGTTAAAATGAAGATAATCTAATGAAGGGGCTACAGTAGAGTGTGATCAGAGTTTACTTGGTCACAAAAGGAATGGTGAGGTGTCCAGAGATGGGCTATGGAGGGAAGGTATACTGTCTAATGGACAGCTGAGGAAATTGAATTTCTGAAATAGATGAAGAAGATATCTAGGGAGGATTGTTGAGTGATTTCCACCAGCCCCAGATAAGTATAGCACTCATATCATTTGCTATGCACTTTTTCTTAACCTAGTCATAAATTCATACAGACTTTTCTGTATTGATCAAAGGTTCAAGTACATTTTTTTAAAAATCTGAAAAGATTTTGTCAAATGGTAAGCCGAATCTGTTTTTCCTTATGAAACATTAGGCTATTTTTACAATGGCTCTAACTAAAGCAGAGTCTTGAAGTACAGGTGCCATAAAAATTAAAACAGTCATTTATTAGAGACCATGCTTTGATTATTCACAGGCAGTATCTTATTTAATATTTATAGTAGCCCAATACCCATTTTACACATGAGAAAATGGAGCTCTGGAGAGGTTAAGTAATTTGCCCTGCACATATGGCTTATGAATGTCAGAAAGGCAACTCTTCCATAACGTCATTGTGTTGCTTTCTGATACTTTAGAAAAGAAAGTACTCATTTCCAAAATTTATGAATCAATAAACACCTATAACACTTTCCATCTACTTCAGAATATTGTGGAGGGCTAAAAAACAATCATTCCATTAGCCTGCAGTAGTATTATTACATTTCAAGAGATGTATTTGTTAACAAAAACATCAAAAGATTTTGCAAACATGGCTCAATCTTAAAAATGTTCCCTGTCAACAATATCCACTATGGCATTTACTAGCCACATGTGGCCATGGAGCACTAGAAAAGTGTTAATACAATTGAAAATTTTAATTTTAAATTAAATTTAATTGTAATGAATTTAATTTTAATAAATTTTCATTTAAATAATCATACTGATTAATTGATATCATATGGAACAGGGCAATTCTATTCACTTTCATTGAGTTTAAATATGACTTTCACAGTATGGAGTGAATTTTTATTCACAGGCAAAAACTATTACTAGTACTGTGCCAGACCTCAGTGATAGAAGGAGGAATAAGTTATGAGTCTTGACTTTAAGTTTAATACAGGAAAGAGTAATTGAAATATAGCAGGATAAACTTTTAAGATTTATTAAATATTTGAAATATGGCAAATAATTGAAGTACAGCCTGATAAATTTTATCACAGAAGTACTTACAGTGGCTCTGGCAAAGGTAGTGGAGTGAGTGCAAAGTAACATGGAAGACTTTGTGGAGAAGGTAACAGCTGTGTGTGGGAGGGGGAGGGATAGATGCACTAGACTTCAACAGAGAGATTTGGTGGGAAGGCATTATTCAGGAGGGAATAAAGTGCTTACTGGAAGGAACCAACTGAAGTACAGACAGTAGCTTACGTATACTTTTGGCAGAAAGTGAATTATAACATTAGCTCACTAATGTTATCCAACCACTAACTAGTGTTATCACAGCATTTTGTTTTCTCTGGATGGGATTATCAGACCCTAGCCCCTTCCTTTTCTGCTCTTTCATGTCCTGGCCATGAGGTAATCGGTCTTGCTCTCATGAGCTTTTGCATCATGATATCCTGTCTCCATCCCACAGACCTGCAAGAATGGGTCCACCTGATCTTAGGCTGAGACCTCCCAAACTGTGAGCCAAAATAAACCTTTTTTCTTTATATCATTACTTGTTTATTATTTCAGGTGTTTTGTTGCCGTGATGGAAATCTGACTATACAGTCACGTTCCTTCCAAAGCCTCTCTGGGAGAACACATCCTCTCTTCTAGCTTGGGAGTAGCTCCAGATTTCCTGGGCTTGTGGCAGCATGATTGGAACCTCTGTCTCTGTCTCCACATGGCCTCCTTCCTTCTCTTGTGTGTCTGTGTCTCTTATGCTATCATAAGGACACAAGTTATATTGGAGAAGAGTTCACTCCAATTCACTATGAGCTCATCTTAACTTGGTTATACCTTTGAAGATCCTATCACCCAATGAAGTCACATTTACAGATAGTGCAGGTTAGATGTGAAACATCATAACAAGCCATTAGTACACATTTTCTTTTCTCCTTATAAAATTCTTTGTTTTTGTTTTTATTTTTCCTAAAACTGTATGTGTGATTTACATAAGGCTGGAAATGAATTTGTCTCTGACCCTTTATGGTTAGGCAAGCATCCTTCATACATGTAGCCTAGACCTTGCTGTACTATTTTCAATCTTGTTCAAGTGACCCGCATTTTCTGCAACACAGCGTTTGAGTTCTTTTAATGCATTTTGTCATCAATGACATTGATCTGGCAATGAATGCTACTGTGACATTCTCATCACATGAATCAGGCATAACCTGACTCTCTGCTTTCCTTCTGGTGCATTCATTTTTACTGAGTCATCATCATCTTTCTTTTTATATTTTCCTTCTCTCTTCTCCATAATACTTTGCCAAGGAACTCTTTGCAATTCTAGTTTTATTGCTGCTGCAAATGCAGGATATCATCATCTTATCTTTATATAAACTAAGAAACGCCTAATCCCTCAAGGAAACTTAAAATGCTCTATCCAGCCCTTTCTCATTTATCCAAAGTTCCAGCCAGGCCTGGTCCAATGCTGCTCCCCCCCGCCACACACACACATACACTGAACTGTTTACAAGACTTTACTGTCCTTCTGATGGCACTCTCCTATGGCAGAGGGATTATGGTTTGCTGAGTTGATGTTACAGCCATTTCATTCTTTGCTGCTCATTTTTAAATCCTACTCTTATTGCTAAAGTATTTCTTTTCACAATAAAAGAATTTAAGTGTACCATCTGTCACAAATACTTCACTGGTCTGTGACAGTTAATTTCAAACTACAAAGTCTAATGAAAAACAAAGTAAAATCAACAGGGGGGAAACACACTAAGAGTATCAAAACCACATTCAATACTAAACATCTGTAAAGTAAAACAAACTTCAATGGAATTAAATAATCATGGAGAAAAGGAAAGTCCATATGTCCTTCACTCTAAGATAATCATAACAGAACTGAGATAGGTGCCTCCTGACTATGCAACACCCAACAAGAAAACACTAACAAGAAAATGTTAGGTGTTTATGAATAGGAAACTATACACAGGCCATTTATTCCAATATGGAGTATGACTGATTGCTTCCAGGCCACAAAGCACAAAAATAGGAGCACAAGTCAATTTCAAAATGTTAAAATTATCCAATCCACTTGTCCTGGTTGAACATGTCTGACAACACACATCACTTAATTTATTTAACAAATATTTTTAAGGACCTACTTTGGGTTGATTGTGTTCCAGTGTCTGAGATTCAGCAGTGAATACTTGGTCCTTATGCACTACACATGGCACCAGGAGGAGGCATTCAAAGATGACAAATGAAGCAGAGGGAAGTAAAGCAGGACTGAGGAATAAGGAATGAGAGAGGGTGGGGCTTGCTATCTATATAAAACGATGATGTGAAATTTCAGCAGAAATATGAAAAGCAGAAGGGAGTACGTGACGGCCAGTACCAGTAACAACAGAGAGAGAAAATGTGAATTCAGTAAAGTGAGTAAGGTGAGACAAGATAGGACTTGAGGTCAGAGACATCATGGGAACTGATGTCTCTGTCCTGTAGGGCTTTTTAGACAGGTTATAACACTCACTTTATTTCTGAACAAGATAGATGG